ATGTGCTTGGCCCTTGGGCAGGGGTTGCTGGAAGGCCATCCTTCCTAGACCCCTCTTTTCCATGTAGTCCAGGGGCTTCTCAGTGTGGCCCCTCCAGTAGGTAGTCAGTCTCCTCACATGGTGGCTCAGGGATCTAAGAGATAGGAAATAGAAGCTGCTAGTCCCTGCCTCGATCGGTTTGGGCTGCTGTAACAGAATACCACAAACGTGGTAGAGAGCAGAAAGAAAAAGCAAGCTCTCTAAATAACTCTTATAAGGGCACTAATCCCATCTAAGCCTAATCACTTCCCAGAGGTCCTGCCTCCCAATATCATCACATAGTAGGGGGGCAGGTAAGGGATCAACATACGACTGTGGGAGAGACACAAACATTCAGTCCTTAATAATCCCTAAGGCCTGGAGCTAGAAACTGGCAAAACATCAGCTTTATCACATTTTAGTGGTCAGAGCGGTCACGGAGCCTGTCCACGTTCGAGGGGAAGGGTCACAGACCTCACTTGTCAACAGTCAAAGAATTTGTACTCTTCTCTAACCCCTCCTCATGGGAAAGGGCTTTTTCCCCTCCATTGCACAGGATTAGATTAATCATAACCTTTGTTTCTTGGACCACAGCATTGGTCCAGGCATGACCGCCTTTATATATTTATTTATGTCTTTGCTTAGCTTTTTTCAAAAAAGCAATGGAAATCTTACGTTTTCCCTTTCTGCATCGTTTGTGATTTGTATACCTGCTTGGTAACATGGCTAGGAAGAACTTCTAATGAAAAATCTAAACTTACCTCTAGTTGGAATGGGGTAACATGATACTCTTCTTTCTAAAATATTATATTTCTTTTATTTACATTGACAAAACTTAGTAGAACTGGAAAAAATATTGTACAGTCTAAGAGGTTTCTAGGGAGAGAAGCTCTGAAGGCTGTTCTCAAAAGTAAACATAGAATGTGGTTTCTCAGCTAAATTTCCTAGAGACAAGGCAACAAAATGAGACCATGTATCTGGAGATAGCATTACAGTGAAAAAAGCATGGGCTTTGTAGCTAAATCAGCTTGGGTTGAATCCTGACTCTTCTACTCTTTAGCTGTCTGGGAAGTCACCTAACTCCCAAGGCCTGAGTTTCCTCATCTGTATGTTGGGAGTAATAGAGTTAACATTGCAGTGGGTTGTGGGAGTTACAGACACAACAAGGTAAGTAAAGCATCCATTATTCTAACTGGGGTAGAGTAGTTCTCAATGTATGATGACTGATGTGATTATGTAACACATGTTTAATTTCATTTACACCTTCAAACCTCTCCTAAGAGAAGGAAAACAGATACATGTCCCAGTTTAGGGAATGAAGGTACCAAGACCAGCAGCACAGTGAAGATCGCAGGCTGGTTTGCAGGCTGGTTCAATAGTGCTGCTGACCATGGTCTGGTACTCAGCAGTGATGGCGCCCGGAGTGGGCACATGGGGCAAGGTGAGCATCTCATAACCAGACTCTGACCTTGTCATCCCAGACGTACCCGCGGCAGGACCATGTGCTGAGAACAGACTGAAACCACAGACCTTGCCCCAGGAGACGTATTCCACTAGTTGGGTACGTGAGGACAAGATTTGGAGGTTTTCCCAAAATCATAATGGGAAAACATCAATATACGTTATTAAAAAAAAAAGAAAAAAACAGGGGCAATACCATCTATCTTCTTGCTAGCAGCAATTTTACTATCTGAAATAATGTTTGAGAAATAGACTAAGGGACAAGCATCTCTGACTTGAAAAAATGAACTTTTCTTCCTTTACTTTTTGTTTTTTAAAGATTTTATTTTTGAGTAATCTCTACACCCAGCATGGGGCTTGAACTTACAACCCCGGGATCAAGAGTCACGTGCTCCAGGGGCGCCTGGGTGGCTCTCAGTCCATTGAGCTTCCGACTTCGGCTCAGGTCATGATCTCAGGGTCCGTGAGTTCGAGCCCCGCATCAGGCTCTGTGCTGACAGCTCGGAGCCTGGAGCCTGCTTCAGATTCTGTGTCTCTCTCTCTGCCCCTCCCCTGCTCATGCTCTGTCTCCCTCTGTCTCAAAAATAAAATAAACATTAAAAAAAATTTTTTTTTAAAGAATCAGGTGCTCCACTGACTGAGCCAGACTGGTGCCTCCTTTCTTAACTTTTTTATAATGGTTAAAGAAAGGGTTTTTGCCATAGAGAGCATTTTAATTAATTCCAGACCATACAAGGCATAAAGAAGTACTTGAAGGTTATGGTATCAGCTGTGACAATAATACTCAAGTGTGTAAGTACGGATAACTTGGCTTCATGAGGTTTTTGTTTGTTTTGTCAAAAGCATAAATGTATAGTGAGGAGTGCCTGGGTGGCTCAGTCGGTTAAGTGTCCGACTCTTGATTTCAGCTCAAGTCATGATCTCACAGTTGGTGAGATCGAGCCTCATGTTGGGCTCTGCGCAGACAACGTAGAACCTGCTTGGGATTCTTTCCTTCTCTCTCTGTCCCTCCCCCATTCACATGCACATGCACATTCTCTCTCTCTCTCTCTCTCTCTCTCTCTCAAAATACGTAGACTTTTTAAAAAAAGCACAAATGTACAGTGAAACTACCCCCAAAAGGCAAAGTGTAGAACAGTATGCTATCATTTGTGCACAAAAATGGAATATATGGTTGGCCTTGAACAATGCAGAGGTTAGTAGTGCTGATACTCCCTACCTCACTGTGCAGTTGAAAATTTGCATGTTAGGGGTGCCTGGGTGGCTCAGTTGGTTGGGCATCCGACTTCAGCTCAGGTCATGATCTCACGGTCCGTGAGTTCGAGCCCCGCATCGGGCTCTGTGCTGACAGCTCAGAGCCTGGAGCCTGCTTCAGATTCTGTGTCTCCCTCTCTTTCTGTCCCTTCCCCCCTCATGCTGTCTTTCAAAAATAAACATTAAAATTAAAAAAAAGAAAGAAGAAAGAAGAAAGAAAGAAAGAAAGAAAGAAAGAAAGAAAGAAAAAAGAAATCTGCATGTGACTTTTGACTCCCCCAGAACCTAACTAGTAATAGCCTACTGTTGACTGGAAGCCTTACCAGTAACATAAACAATTAACACATACTTTGTATGTTATGTGTATTGTATGCCATATTCATACAATAAAGTAAGCTAGAGAAAAAATGTTATTAAGAAAATGCATTTATAGTACTGTACTGTTTATCCAAAGAAAATCTGTGTATAAGTAGACCTGTGCAGTTCAAATCCATGTTGTTCAAGGGGTCAACTGCATATGGCATAAACGCGCAGAATTTCTATGGTAGTATACCCAAGGACCTAGGACTAATGGTAGCCTCATGTTCACATTTCTGCAAACATATCTATAGTATCCATAACTAATACATAGCATTATTCTATAAATATCCTTCTTACTGAAATGTACATAATAGTATCAAATCAGATGCGTCATTCTGTATTTTATCTTTCCATTCAACATTTTATATATTTATATTCATATACATACAAACATATATGTTATATTTAAATAAGGTATATACTCATATGGTTCAAAGGATCAAAACAGCATAGAAAGATTTATAGAAGAAAGTCTCAGTGCACCTGGCTGGCTCGGTCAGAAGAGCATGCGACTCTTGATCTTCGGGGTGGGAGTTTGACCCCCTGTTGGGTAGAGATTACTAAAAAATTAATAAACTTTAAAAAATTTAAAAAAAATAGAAGAAAGTCTCATTCCTAATCCTGTGTCATCCCACCAAGCAACTACTTAAAAAATTTTCTTCTACATTTCCAGAATTTTCTTACGCAAGCACATACATTCTCCCTCTTCCTTGTTTACACAAAAGATTGCATTCTACCAACACCTTTCTGCACCCTCCTTCTTTCACTTAACAATATACTTGGAGGTTTTCCCATATTTGTACACCAAGAGCTTTCTCAATCTTTTATACCAGGTTAGATCCCATTGGGTGGACCATAATTTATTTGCCTGGCCTCTCACTGAAAAACAGTTGAGCTGTTTCCTAGACAGAGCCTGACCACCCCACCTGACTGAGACACTGGAGAAGCAGTCCAGGTAGGTTTATAAGAGGGAGTGGAGAGGAGGAGGGAGACACTGTACCTCCCAGGTGGGCTGAGGGCAGAGGCAAGTTCAGGCTTTGAGGGAAAGTGGGGAGGGAGAGGGGAGGAAAGATGAAGTCTTTCCCAGTTCTCCTGGGGTCTCGTGTGTCTGCTGAATTTTCCTCTGGTAACTCCCACCACCCACTGCTCTGGCTCCGTTCCCTCCTTCAAGTGTCTTACTCTTGGCCTTGCCCTGGTTCTACGCCTGGCTCCACCAGGGTAACTTCCCAAGCCCCTTGTGTGGTGGGGAGGGGTTGCTGAGGTGTGAGAAACCGGGCTCTGACTCTCCAGGCCTGCACCCTCATTGGCTCTCCACATTGCACCCCTAGCATCTCCCAACTCCCGTGTCACCGGGTCCAGGACCATAAGCGGTAACTGAATGGCTCAGTGGCCTTCAGCTGGCCCTAGGTCAGCATCCCTGTCTGCCCACTGGCAGTCTCCGGGGGCCTGAAACTAGGCTACCTTGGACTGGTGGGGGATGGGCTGAGGCTGACAGGTACTTCTTCCTCTCACTCCGCACCCTCATCAGCAGACCATTTCCTGTGGTTCCCGTTGTACAGATCTGAGAAGACTTGCCGAGCTGGCAGGACTCTCAGACTGTGGATGAAACACCACCAGTGAAATACAGAAGGATATATCCAGAGAAGGGTGGTGGCTCCCACCAAGGTAGAGCAAGCTAGCATTGGAGGGCCCTTGGAAGAAGGCCCTTGGGTCTTGCCTTCTGGCCTAGACCTCTACATCTGCCTTGTTGTTTGACTCAGGTGCCCTAGGGGATAAGCTGGGTGAGGAGGGCAGAGATCTGGGCTTGGCAGGCAGACAAGACACTCGGTGGAGAGTCTCATGGCTGCTGCCTCTCTCTCAGGCTGTGTCCACCTCTGACTGTGGCTTTCTGGCAGGAACGGATGAACATGGCCTGGCAGATGACACAGTTGCTGCTTCTGGTTTCGGTGGCTACTGCGTGGGGTGCCCAGTCCAGGACTCCAGGGGCCAGGAGAGACCTGCTCAATGTCTGCATGGATGCCAAGCACCACAAGACAAAGCCGGGCCCTGAGGACAAGCTGCATGACCAGGTGAGGATGGAGTGGGGTCAAGGGTTGGGGAGAATGGAAGAAGTTGGGAAATGGGAAGATCAGTTTTGGGGAGCAATGGAGTCAAGAGGGTGGCGAGGCAATCCCCAGGAGTCCACCAGATTTACTGTAGTGAGGGGACCATTTTCTGGCACCCACTATGGGCCAAGTGCTTTCCTCACGCCTTGTCAGTGAATATGCCCAAAGGGCCTAATTGGTAGGTGGATGGTCTCTACTCATTCAGATAAGGAAATGGGAAATGAGGCCCAGAGAGGGCACAGGTACATGTGGGAATTGAGAGGCTAGTCTTTAGCAGGGCTTAGGACAGAGTCGGGCAGTGCCCTTCCCAGCATTAAGTATGTGCCAGCCTACGCAGCTCAAAGACGAGGTACAGGGGAGACAGGTCCCTCAAGGTCACAATGCGGCAAACACATATGAACAGTCCAGGTCCTCCACCCCTATTAAGTCCTAAAGAGACAGTGACAAATCAGATAACGCTGGGAACACTTCCCAGGAAAGGTGCCATCAGCCTTGGCCTTGGAGGATGAGTAAGAGATTTCCAGGAAGACAAAGCAGGAAAGGGCAGCCTAGCAGAGAACAGCATGTACACGGGTGGCAGGGTTACAGCACAAGCCGTGGCAAGCGTAGTGAGGCAAGAGCCAAGGATGCTGCTGCCCACAGAGAAGGGAAGGTGAGGGCCCTCCTTTTATAGGTAAAGCCCCTGAAGCCACTCAGGGAACCCGAGCCTGAGGTTGAACTCCAGGATCGTGAGAGATGTCAGTATTTCACTCTTCCTGGTCTCCTCCTCTGTTCCCCACAAAATCTCACGTTGCTAGAGGGCCGGGGATGTTTCCAGGGAAAGAAGGCATAGACTGACCCAGGGGCTGGAAGTGAAGGGCGGGAAGCCCAGAGCCCCATGACTTCTGAGTCATTTCTGATGTATCATTTGCTTTGTGCATGTGTGCATGCGCTAAAATATGAGTAACATAAAATATGCCATTTTAAGCATGTCTAAGTATCCAGTTCAGGGGTATTAAATCCATGCACATTGTCTTGGGACCATCACCACCACCCGTCTCCAGAGCTTTTTATCTTCCAAAACCGGAAGTCTGTATCCACCACTTCATTTTCAGAACCTTTTAAGTTCTAGAGGGTGCTTTGAAGAACCCTCTGGAGCACTTCTTCTTCTCCAAGAAATGGCACACAGACTTTTGTGGGAGACAGATGATTCTGTAATTATGAGAGACAGGGGCTGCACTGAGAGTGCTTATCTATGTTGAGCCCCTGCTGTAGGCCAGCAAGTGATTTTTATTATATAATTAATCTTGTGGAGGCAGAAACCACTGACTGTGGTGGGCAGGTCAGGGATGAGGTGCATGGGTTCTTGCAGGGCAACCGAGAGTTGGGGCATCAGAGGAGGAGTGTGCATGAAGTTAGGGAGGCCTGGAAGCATGTTCTGTGTCAGCCGTGCTGGGGGCGGGCTGGGTTGCTGGAGAAGGGTAGGTTTGGTTCTACCCTCATGGGTTTTCCTGAGTTTCTCCTGAGTGCCCAGACTTTTCACATCTCCCCTGTCACTTGGCCCTGGGTGCTAGAGGTCATCTCAGAGATTTTAAGCAATCGGCTCATAATCACTCAGCTCTGGAGGACCAGCTCAGAACGATTTCTTCAGACACCTTCACCACTTCCTCTGTCTTAGCTGTCTTGAATTTACCTCTCTGGGATTGCCTCCCGTGTTGAGTCAGGTCCACACCGGGATTCATGTGCAAGACATTGCCCCTCTGTTCCCCACTGCTTTCTGGACCTATCTGAAGTCCACTAGCCTGGGATTCCAGACCAGATGACAGCAGATCAGCCCCCCTCATCTCCACCCTTACCACAGCTTGGAGCCAGGCTTTTCAACCCCACCCCTGTCCTGAGTTAAAATCTTGATCCTACCATTTCCCAGGGTAAACTCTGTCAAAGTTGAAGTAATGATGTTTTCACTAGACCGTTGAAGGCATAAAGTGCCAAAGCCTCAGGGACTTTGCACTTGTTGTTTTCTGTGCCTACAATGATCTGTATCTTCCCTCTGCCCGGGACTAAAACTATAAGCTCCATAAAGGTAGAGATTTGATCTGTTTTGTTCACTGCTATATTCTCAGCACCTAGCACAACGCCTGATTGAAGGTAAGCATTCAGTTAATATGGGCTGGATGTGGAATGAGTAATATAAATAACCCGAATCATGTGAAATAACTTTGTAAACTGTTTAGAGCTGTAAAAATAATTGCTCCCCCAGACAGTGGTTCCCATGCCTCCCACATCCTCTGTTTTACTCTCTGTTAAAAGTTCTGTTATAACTACCCCAAGGGCCAGGCATAGAGGCACCCTCCCCAGCAAGTATTCCTCTGGATGCCCTACCTGGGGCCAAGGAGCCAGAATATGGAGGAGACAGCTGTGGTGGGGGAGGCATGTGTTCCAGTGTCTTCTCCACCCAGTGCACTCCCTGGAGGAAGAACGCCTGCTGCTCACACAACACCAGCCAGGAGCTGCACAAGGACCCCTCCCTCTTGTATAACTTTAACCTGGACCACTATGGGCAGATAGCCTGCCTGCAGCTAGCCATGTTCAGGACAACTGTACCTTCTGAGTCATCGCCAATCTGGGGCCCTGGATCCAGGAGGTACGGGCCTCTCCCTCACCCCAGCCCAGCGGGCTGCCATCCTTCCTCGGTGGTCGAGGTCAGGTGGTCACTGGCTAGCACCAGCACCCCTGGCTGAGAGGGCCTCCCCCTCCCCCCCAGGTGAACCAGAGCTGGCGCAAGGAACGCTTCCTGGACGTGCCCCTGTGCAAGGAGGACTGTCAGCACATGGGGGGGACTGCCACCTCCTACCACCTGCAGAGCAAGCTAGCTGGGAGGAGGACTGGGCTCAGGCTGAGGGCCTAGGGGCGGTCTGGGATGGAGCGGGGTCCGATCTGGGGATTAAGGAGGCGGATCTCCAGGGGGTGGCCGAATGGGCTCTGGGCCCAGGAGGCTGAATGTCTGTGTCCCTCTCTCCCAAGTCACGGATCGAAAGGTCGGCCAGACCTGCCTACACATTTTGAGACCTACTTTCCCACGCCCGCAGCCCTGTGTGAGGGCATCTGGAGCCACCCACAAACTCCCAGCAACACAACTCGAGGAGGCTCGCTGCTCAGATGTGGTCTGACCCATGGGCAGCAACGCGAGGAGGGTGGCCAGGTTCCTATGCCTGAGCCATGAGGCAAGGCCCCATGGGATTGGGCTTCTCCTGCTCAGCCTGGTCCTTATGCTGCACCTCTGGCTCCTCAGCTGAGTCCCTCCCACTGCTGACATCTGGACATCTTCCTTGACTGCACCCAGCCTAGGTGACCCAGCCTCAGCCCAGCTCAGCAATCTCAGATAAAGGGGCTTCCCAATGCCCTAGTAATTATGCTTCTTGATCCAAGATGGGTCATATGGGGTTCCTCTGACAGCCTATTTTAATAGACAGATCCAGGTATATCTTGTGTCTCGAAAATAATTTGGAGATGAGTCGTTTGGGGGGCAACATGCCTCATTGCTTTATCATTCCTATTGAGAGGCCCAAAGAGGGACTGGGACTGGCTTGAAGTTCACCAGTAAGTAGGGGTGGAAGCTGACCCCTAAGTCTGAGGTTCTTACTTCTACACCAGGCTTCCCCCTCAAGTTCCCTCCCCCAAGTTCATCACTCCTACATCACACGGCATGATGAGGGCATTGGTGGAAGACGTGGGCAGAGACTGGCAGATGAGTCATCAGGCTCCTGGTGGGAAATAAAAGTTTCTTGCCCCCTCCTTCCCTTTCTAGATGTGGACTAGGGTGGAGCTATTGGTGGTGGTAGTGGGTAGGGAATGCCAATGAAGAGCAATGGCATTGCTTCCCTTTCTTAAAAGGACAAATAATGCTACACTGAATCATCTTATGCATGGTAGAATGCTATACTTGAATTTCAGAAAAGGGATTGCTGGGTCAAGAAGCATATGCATTCGGGTGCTTGGGTGGCTCAGGCAGTTAAGCGTCCGACTTGGCTCAGGTCTTGATCTCACAGTTCATGGGTTCAAGTCACACCATCAGGGTCTGTGCTGACAGCTCAGAGCCTAGAGCTTGCTTCTCCTTCTCTCTCTGCCCCTCCCCAGGTTGCAATCTGTCTCTCTCTCTCCCATAAATAAAGATTAAAAAAAAAAAAGGAAAAAAAGTAAAACAAACACAAAAAATGTCTTACTACATGACAGCCCCTTACCAGAGCTTTAAGGCTTTTCCATGGTATCTGTTGGAAAAACTAATCTTCAATGGCATAGAAAGCCCTGCCATCCGCCCCAACTTAGAGCTCACTCTGTCAAACTGTTCCCCTTCCATACCATTCACACTTTTCACTTTGGGCCTTTCTCAGGCAATTCTCTTTCTGTGTTCCTGGAACGTTCCTTTGTCCTCTGTGGGCTGGCTCCTCATAGCCTCTCAGATTTCAACATACAATTCCCCACTAACAGGACTTCTGACCACTCAACCAAAAGAAGTCATCCAGGCACTTTCTTATCACATCGCTCCAGTCCCTTTGTACAAACACCTACCTACTGTGTTTATCATCTGCTGTCCCTGACAACACAAGCCCTCACAAGTAGCCTATGGAAGCCCAGGGAGGTTAGAGGAGGCTTCCAGAGGAGTAATGTTTGCCAAGCAGAAAACGGAGGGCGGACCGGTATTCCATGGTTATGGTTCAGCAAGTACAAAAACTTGGTGGGACCAAAGCACAAGCAAAAATTTCTAGATGGCTGAAATAGAAGTTAAGACGGCAAGGGCAGGAATTGAGGCCAGAGGAGAAACATTGGATTTGCAAGCCTTAGGCTGATGCCCTGAGTGCCTCTCACAAAGCTTCTCTTTCATTCTTTGTGAAAGGATCTGGTTTGGAATGGGACTCAGATCTGAATCCTAGCCTCACCTTGCTGCCTGGGAACCACAGTTTCCACAGCTGATGGGCTGGCACTCAGGTGAAGCTCCAGTTTCTCCCACCCCCACTCCCTGCAGCCCAGGGCCTCTCCCTTTGTAGGCCAAACACCTTCCTGTTATCTTTGTCTGGTCACAGGGCAGCCTACAGATTGGGTTCTACAAGGATGCGGATAGCTCACCTTGCTGATATTAAGCTTCCGGTCCAGGCAGATAACTCTCTCAGGATCTGCTCCTAGGTGGCTGCTTCACCCCCCGCCCCAGCACCCAGATCTCAGATTCAGAACCAGACTTGAGGCTCAACAAGGGCAGGGACTCCCCACAGGTCATAACCCCACCCCCAAATCACCTCCCAGTGGCTGGTTACTTCTGAAGCCATCAGGGCCCAGGGCCTTACTCTCCTGGTGGAGGGGCCACAAAGCCCAGTTAATGATCAGCCCCCAGGGCAGGGGTGGAGGGTGCGGGCAGGGACAAGTCCAATCTGAAAGAGCTCCCACCTTAAGACATTCCTAGATCTCTGGTCATTCTTCCCCAATCAGGAGAAGGCTGTCTGGTCCTATAAAGCCAGAAGAGAGGTCTGAAGGGTCCAATGGTGCCTTATCTGCCAAGGTCTTCAGAGGGCTGAACCCTCCCTGCTTGTCACAGGATTCAAGTAAGGATCACTCTGAGGGAGAGGGAAAGCAGGACATGAGCTGGGGTCTCCTGGAGTCCATTTCTTTGCAGACCCTTTAGGGCTTGGCTGCTCCCCCAGCAATCCCACCCCCTCCCTGTTCCATGGGCCCAGACCTATGGCCTTCCCCAGGGCATTGAGGCTCCATCTTCCTTAAACTTCTATTGCCATCCATAGGTTGATGGCTCCCACATCTGCATCCAACCTAGACCCTTCCTCTAGGCTTTCGTCTCTGTAACTACTTCTCCCTGGGTCGCACACAGGCGCTGTGACAAAACAAAGCTTGGTATTTTCTCGTGCCCAAATTTGCTCCTCTACTCTTCCCTTTCCCCAAAAGTGGTACCACCATGATAAAAGGAAGGCTTGTGTCCTTGGCTAGGGTGAGAGAGGTGGGAGGGGTCTACATGAGACCAGACTCTGATGATGCCATAGACGGGGCACCTGTATGGGTAGATGTGGGGGGCAGGGGAGTGGAGAGAGGAGGGCTGGGGCCTGGGGTTCTGGGCATTTGAACATCTGATTGTGCAGCTGGAGGTGAGCAATGCCTGGGGCTGATGAATTTGGAGGAGTTGCTGGATCTATAAGTTGGGGACTGGAGAGTTCTGTGCTCTCTACAGCTGGCTGGGAGCTTGGAAGCTTGCACTCCAGCCCTTGCCCTGCAGTTGGTTCTATCCTGATTCTCTGGGTCTCATTCTCTTCTGTATAACAAGGACAGGGGGTTGGAAGTGGATCAGATTGTTTTAAAGGACTCGGCAACTCAGGCTGCAAGGTTTTATCAGACCTGAGTCTGGGGGAGAAAATGGGGTCAGTGGGGCTGGGGACTGGCCCTAGGCCGGCACTATTAATCTACCCACCTCCTGTGGAAGCTGGCTAGTGTCCACAATAATTGACGTGCAAGAATTAACTGCTGAGTAGGCCGAAGGACCTGCGGTGGGCCCACCTCGGCCACCTCTCTGGCTTGATCTTCCTCTGTGCCTGACTGTGTGCTTAGTCCCGCACCATGGGGCAGCAGGAAAATCGAGTGGCCTCTATGAACCCAATAGCAATGGCCAGATCCAGGGGTCCAATCCAGTCTTCAGGGCCAATGATCCAAAATTATCTGAATCGACCAAGGCCTACCTGGGAAGAAGTGAAAGAACAACTAGAGAAGAAAAAGAAAGGCTCCAAGGCATTGGCTGAATTTGAAGAGAAAATGAGAATTGGAAGAAAGAACTGGAAAAACACAGGGAGAAATTAGTAAGTGGAAGTGAGAGCTCATCCAAAAAAAACAGTGAAAGGAAAAAAAAAAAGAAATCTGGTAGGTATTCATCTTCTTCATCAAGCTCTGCTTCTTCCAGCAGTTCTTTGGATTTTGAAGATGAGGATAAAAAACAAGGAAAAAGAAAAAAGAGAAAGAAGAATCGTTCGCATAAATCTTCTGAAAGCTCCATGTCAGAAACTGAATGGGACAGTAAGGATAGTTTAAAAAAAGAAAAAGAAGTCAAAGGATGCAACTGAGAAAGACAAGGACATTAAAGGACTCAGCAAAAAAGAAAGATGCGTCCTGAAGATAAACCTTTATCGTCTGAGTCCTTATCAGAATCAGATCATGTTGAAGAAGTATGAGCAAAAAAGAAGAAAAGCAGTGAAGAACGAGGAAAAGAAAAAACAAAAAAGAAAAAGAAGCATGAGAAACACAGTAGGAAGAAGAAAAAGAAGGCTGCTAGTTCAAGTCCCGACTTGTCATAATATTAAGAAAAATCAGGATTCCTTTATAAAGAAAGTGCAATGTCTAAGGAAATTTCAACGGTGAAAATTATGACATAATTACTAACATGCATGAATTTTCTTGTTTTTAGAATTATTACTGGACTATTCAGTAGCCACTCGGATGCCTCCTTGTGAAAGGGCCATAACTGTTGCCTGCTGCTTGAACATCAGTTTTTTCTCTTCCAGTGCTTAACAACTCTGGGAGATAATACATTGCAGTTGTGCTAGTGGTTAAGATTTGGGGATAAAATTACTATTTTTGACTCGAAGTATCTAAAGATACATCAACAGAAATCGAATCTGGATATATCATTTAAGATGTAATTAGAAATGACCAGATGACTCTAGTTAACATTTTGGAAATAGGGATTACACTGATATTTCAAAATTCTTATTCAGTAGATAAGTGTATTTTAATTTTTCCCCTTATATACTTTTATTTACCTGGGGAAGGAGCTTTTAGGTTTGGGGGGTGGGTTACTATCTCTTTAGCTAGAAGAATAGCGTGCCTTTTATCCTCACACATCCTGTTTTTGTGGACACAGTAGCCATGCTTCATGGGGAGGTCAGAGCTGGTACAGCAGTCTTGCCCTTAGACATCCTTGGACTCTTGTCATTTGCTGCTTTAAGTGAACCAGAGTAACAGCCTTTTGCAGCACGACAAAGCCCCAAAAGTTCTGGGATTTACCTCCACTTCAATAATACTGAATGTTTTTTAGCATTAGAATGTGT